AAATACATGTCACATCTCATAACTCATAAATCGTAGAAAATCATAATGAAATTGTAACATTTACTGAACTGAACATAACAAATATGCTGTATGTCTAATCTTTGAATACAGCTAAAACTGTACTTTCAGAGAAATTTAAAACCATATAAATTTATATCAGAAGAGAATAAAGTACAGAAAACAATAAGTTAACCATACAAGTTAAATAATTAGAAAAGAATTATAAAAAATATCAGAACTTTGGAAGAACAATAAAGATAAGAGAAAAATGAACGCAATAGAGTGTAGAAATTCGAAAGTGAGGAATAATAACATGAAATTCTAACAAATTATATTTTAAAACTGTACTAAGATGTTATTTATAAAGGAACATTAAATATATATCTAGGTAAAGCAGAAATGAGAAAAATAACTTTAAAACATTTGAAACATTTTTACCAATATATTAGAAAACATAAATGAAATGGATAAAATTCCTGGAAAAAAATATAACTTATCATAAAGAAATAGTATGATTAGTCCTATAAGTACTCAATACATTCAACCAATAGTTAAAACGTTTCATCAAAGGAAACTCCAAGCCTAAGTTATACATCTTTTTCAAGGAAAAGATAATTCCACTATTTCTCAACGTTTTCAAGTGAATAGAAAAAATAGGGAATAATCTCCAGGTCACTTTTAGAGGTGAAAATAACTTTGAAAGCAAAGCCAAAAAAGGATAGCCAGAAAAGGATAAATAGGCAAAAGTACTACAGAAAATATCAGCAAACAGCTAACATCGAAGTATTTTTTAAAATTGCATAAACACCAAGTTGAAACTAACCCAGGAACAGAAGGTCACTTAATACTAATAAATGTTCACCATATTAACAGAATAAAGGAGAAAGACAGCACCACTATCCCAGTAAAACTAAGAAAATAATTTAAAATAATAAATAATTCTTTATAAAAACTAAACTAGCTGATAATTATCTGGTAAAGGGAATCTATAAAATCTAGGGTAAACATATCAGATGTATGGCCTTTTCACTTTCATTTTATCACAACCACTATTTTCAAGCAACTGGAAAATTAAGATACAATTTGTTTAGTTTTTCACTAGTGTTAAAAGTGGAGCATCTACCATATTTTCATTTACTCATTTATCCATGAAGGACACAGAAGTACTTTCTCCACAGCTAAGAGAAACAAAGAAGTTACGGCTAATCATATAAACATACAACATAGTCAAGAGAGGAGACACAGCTAAATTGAACAATTAGAGAGAACATTTTTCAATGACAGCACTTGAACATCCATTTGCCTGCAGCAAAGACAGTTAAGATTCCTCTGAAGTCATGAGCATCCTACTAATACAATACAAGGGTCTCCACTCTAATCTCTTCTTTCAGTTAGCGTATTACTTTTTCTTCAAGGCTATGAAGTTAAAGCAATGTTCTACTGTAGCTAATAATTTGGAATTACTGATGTATTAAATATCTTCTACTTCTTTTGCCATCTTCTTTGGTTTCTTTATCAGAAATCTATGTCCCAACCACATGAATATTAAAACACATTTTTTATCTTTCCAGTCCATTGTGGTGTCAGGTGAAGAATACTCAATGTTGTTCTTGTAACTTCCAAATAAAACACTTAGAAAAACACCAAAAGTGCCGAACAAAACAAAAAATATAATTTCACTGTACAGCAACACAGCTAAGCAATTAAATGTCAATATATGGGGAATAAATAAAACTTGTAAAGCAGAGGGGGACAGACTGAGGGGAAACCCAAGGTATTCAATGTTACATCTTAGGTTTGCTTTATGAAAGGGAGAATTATAATAAAGGTAGGAAAATAGTTTGTACTTCACTCACCTTATGTATCTTCACATGATGCACCCCAACTCAGAAACTCAAGGACAGTACCAAACAAAAAAAATGAATAATTTCTGTTAGGAGAGGCAATCTGCCATGTGCTCTGGGCTCTCTTGCAAGTTTTTGCTGGGTGTGCCAAGAAGGAATGAATGGTCTAACTGCTCATTGTCATGTCCTCATCTCAGGGATGTGTTTGCAGAAAGTAACCTGGAGGGATAAGGTAATGTCTCCCTCTAGGACAAGGACCAGGCTTGCTTACTGTTTGCTGTAAAAGAGATGGATTCTCTAAGCCCAGTGTTTCTCACAGATGGGTGCAGTATCTACCCTAGCCTTATTGCATCTCTCTGTGGGACTTGGAGTTAAGGGGAACTCAATCAAACATGCTATACCTCCTGATGCTTTATGTTCTAAGAATAATAAAGTCCTTAGTCACTGACCTCGTAGTCTCATGTCTTCTTCCAGCATCCATGAAACAGTAACAGATTAGCTTATTAGCTCCTAAGTAGAGTAAAATCCCATCCCTCATTCAACAACTTCACCCCACTCTGCCTCTATAAAGTGCTGGCCAGGAACTAGGGCAGACCGCAAGAGGTGCAAGATAATTTTAGAGGTATTTTCTCATACACTAAGTCATACTTTTTTTTTTCTCATACAAGTCACACTTTTCAAGAGGGGCTGACTGAGGATATACCTGTAAGTTAATTATATTTCTTCATATGTTATCAGGTATGAAATGAAGAAACCATAGTAGAAAAACATCACTAGAGGAACGTATGTATCACTTCATAAGAGGAATGACTCCTCGAAACAAGGAATTAGGCTGGGAATTGCTCATCTCCCACTTTTCACAGGGCAAGGACTGCAGGGCCTAGGTAGTCCACCAACACCATCTTGTAGACAAAGACTGAGTTTAGACACGATTTGTTTTAGGACCTATTGAACATACTTAAGCATAAAAATGGAAACACCGAATGGAAGCGGTGGAGGAAACCCTGCCTCTAAGAGCTAAAATAGCAATTCAGAAAACTGATTGTACCTTCAAAAGAATACAAAAAGATGTGGTACCTATGAATCAGGAACAGGAAGTCATAGGAAAGAACAGTCTGAGATGAAAAGAATTTCAAAGAATGGGACACAAAAAAAGAAATCCAACATAAATGATCATGCCATTTGAAAATATAAATTGAACATAAAGCTAAAATATATAAAAGGAAACTCTCCTGAACTGCATATAAAATGTATAAGTACAAAAAAAGAATTTTTCAAGTTCTAAGCAAAGTAAATTAAAATAACCTAAACTTAGCTATATGCTGGAAATCTGTATGTTTTAAACTAAAATGATGAGGAAAAAATAATCCTCCTATAGACAACCAAGTGAACCCCAAAATACAAGGGGTGATGGTAAGCTCCCCAAAGCCAAAAATTAGCCTGGCCACCTTCTTCTCTTCAGTAGCACTAATTTCAGAAGACAACAGAGCAAAACACTTGGAATTCTCTGTTAAACAGCTGCAAGACTCAACATCTATTATCAACCAAATGATGTCCTCACATTTAAGGGAATATGATGACATTCCTTAACATGAAAAAGCATGAAACATACTTGAATTTTCTTAATGTAACATAGTAAATGTTACAAATATTTTAAAATTTATTGATAAATTTTTAAAAATTAGAATATAAAAATAAGAAGAGGTCTGGTAGTTGGCACTAACGCCAGGTAAAACATAGATACATCATAGATTTTGGCAAAATTCTGGTTAACAACTATATGCACATACACAATTATCTATGAGAAGACTAATACATATATATTTATACATATACAAACATATATACACATTTCTGTATACATTAAAATAGCATAATTTAAATCAATAACCATGGAAATTGCACTAAGACTGCAAAACATAGCTCAAGAGGAAAAAGGAAGCTAAACTCTTTGTTTACAATGCAGAAGCTTTCAAAAAATACATTCTGGCTATTAGAGAAATACATACAAAGTGGTTTAGTAAACTTATGGGTAACTAGTTGTATAATATAAACATCACGTATAGCTTTCAAAATATGCAAGGAAGATACAAGTAAAAAATATTTTGCCTGCAGAACAAAAATAAAGATAAAACAAAGGAAAGAACAAATAAATATGAAAAACAGAACACACAGAATATAAAGGCACAAGCAAAGTCAACCCTTGCCATTATTAAAATAGAAAGCAAAAGAATAGGCCATGCATTAAATGACCCATTATTAATTTAATAAAAACTTTATGGGGAAAACAGAAAGAATATTATCTCATTATAAGAACACATGCTTTGCAATTTCAGAATTATTAGGTGTAAATAACTAAAAGAAATCTTAGAATCAAGGTAATCATGCTTTGCATTATATACAAAATACACAGCTAAAATATAGAGAGACTAGTGAAAAGAAACAAAAAAAAAGAGACAAAATAAGCAAAGATAAAAAACAAATTGGGTCTGTGGGTCCAAGTCCAAATTTTCTAGAGAAAGCATGTGACTTTCTCAGGTTGAGCTATGTGTCCACCCAGGTCCAAATAACATGGTTATTTGGTTAAAGGGCTTCTAGAGCCCAGGCCTCAGTGGGAGCTGTGCTGAGGGTAATCTGTGAGGTCATCTGTGACAAGACCCCAGAGGAGTCAACAACATGTCACCACATATGTTAATTTCTTCTTGTTCTCACAGTCTTTGTGCTTTAATATTTTCAGGTTTGTCAGACGGAATTTTCTAAATGTCCTTCAAAAGCAAGGACCATATCTAACAATTCTTTCACATTTTTTCTACAGTACAATGCACATAGTAGCTGCTTAATAAAAATATCCTCAACTGCATTCTTTTCTGTTCCCTAAACAAAAGCCTTATGAAATACTAAAATAGAACACACATACACACACACACACCCCCCTACATGCACACATGTACACATGCATACACACACACACACACACACTTTAAGCTCTGATTTGAACACTACAAAGTGTCCAAAAAATCATACTGAATTGCCTTCTCAGCCTATTTATTGAATTAATAAAATCCACGTATCATTTCTGAAATCCAAAACAACTATACAAATTAAGTTACCTATTTTCTAATGTTGGATTTGCTAGACATGTAAACATAAACTTACAGGCAAACTGAAGCTTGGCTTCTCTGCTGACAATTGTTCCAAGTGAATTTGTTGCAAAACATTGGTAAGTTCCTGTATCCCAATTTCTGTTGGGGTTAATAACCACAAGATTTCCTCCATTCAACTTATAACGATGTTCCATACTCGTATCAATATCACTTCCATTCAGTTGCCATCTGTAAAACAAATATCAAGGTTTTCCCCCCTTAGTATTTTTAACTTAAAAGAAGGCTCTCCATTATAAAATCTACTTTAAACATTATCCCTCATATAAGTAAAAAGTGATACATATATTTTTCAAGTGTTACATAACTGAAGATCAAATATGGCCAAGTATGTATCAGAAACAAAAAGTTAAAGCACAGTAGAAACTACAACAGAGTAGCATCTACAAGTTAAAGGGTTTTAAACGTTTCTTAGGAGATGGGAATGATTTTGTTTGCTCACTAGGGGAAAAGTTAGGCTAGGTCTGCAAAGGCAAAGATGAATTAGAAAGTTGAGGTAATTATCTCAGATACTTTAGGCCAAGCTCCTGCTGACAATGAAGGAAGACAACAGCACATTTCTTTGATGTATCCAGATTGACTGAGCACATTTAATAAATTAATTGGGTAAGTGCTCAACTATCCATTTCAATTTGTCTGGGTAAATACCTGTCCCCGAGGCATTCTCCACTTTTCTAAGCCATCACAGTGCTATTTACAAAATGGTACACTGTGGTAAAAGACCATCAACACCACCTAGGGGGTCGGAAAAAGTAAAGGCAGTCACCCCAGAGCCATATTTATCAATGAGAAGCCTAAAGATAAACGAAGAGAGAAGCTGGATTTTAAGTAAGAGTTTTTAAAGCTGAAAGTTTTTAAACAGTAAGTATGCTTGAAGTATCATGGGACTTCCCCTTTAAATACTCATTCATATCCCACAATCTCAAGAACACATTACTGTAAAAAACAGGGCACCCACCTCCTAGATGCCCCAATTTTTATAATGAAATTACACTGCCATCAGTTCTGTAAATTGTAGCATATTATAACCATGGTCATGTCAATTATTCTTTATAATAATTTACCAAAAATGAAAAATATGGCTATTTGATAGATAATGATTTTAATAAAGCAACTGTGTGAGTTGACAACTGTCCCCAAAACTATTAATTGGTGGGATCAGGAGTTGCATCTACTTGAATTCCAGCTCAGAGTTCTTCAGTGATGTTATGGGACATCTCTAAATTGTTGATTTAAAATATAAAATATTTAACCTGCACATATTTTGTGAAAACATACAAAGAGATGAAATGTGAACATCATCTCAAACAGAAGTGCATAAAGTTAAATGGAATACTATACAATTGTGAAAATGGGCCACTTTTATAAACAGGGATGACTCAAGCAATGGTGCATAAAAAAGTAAATTAAAACATTCAGTTAGATACCATTTATGTGAAGTTTTTTTTTTTTTTTTTTTTTTGAAACGGAGTCTCGCTCTGTCGCCCAGGCTGGAGTGCAGTGGCGCAATCTCGGCTCACTGCAAGCTCCGCCTCCCGGGTTCACACCATTCTCCTGCCTCAGCCTCCCGAGTAGCTGGGACTACAGGTGCCCTCCACTGCGCCCGGCTAATTTTTTTCTATTTTTTAGTAGAGACGGGGTTTCACCATGGTCTCGATCTCCTGACCTTGTGATCCGCCCGCCTCGGCCTCCCAAAGTGCTGGGATTACAGGCGTGAGCCACCGCGCCCGGCCTATGTGAAGTTTTAAAACACAGTTGAGGTTTATAATTTTCAGACCTTTTAAAATCTACTTACTACATTAAAATGTATAATACATTTTAATATATAATCATTATATGTTATATTTTATATATAATTATACTGTATAATACAATAATATTTAATTTATTAATTATGTACTAAGTATATTTTTAAAAGTATGAAAATTATAAATCTCAACTTTTTTTTTTTTTGAGAACAGAGTCTCGCTCTGTCGCCCAGGCTGGAGTGTAGTGGCACAATCTCAGTTCACTGCAAGCTCTGCCTCCCGAGTTCATGCAATTCTCCTGCCTCAGCCTCCCGAGTAGCTGGGACTACAGGCACCCACCACCAGGCCTGGCTAAATTTTTTACATTTTTAGTAGAGATAGGGTTTCACTGTGTTAGCCAGAATGGTCTCAACCTCCTGACCTCGTGATCCATCTGCCTCGGCCTTTCAAAGTGCTGGGATTACAGGCGTGAGTCACCGCGCCCGGCCACAAACTTCAACTGTAAGCTATTTTAAAGCTCTCACAGAGAGATAGTAGGATGTGTTTAGGGGGCCTACACTGGGAAATTTAGCTTTTTTGGTTTAGTTCTTAAATTAAAAAGTAATTATATGGAAGTTCATCATTATGCGCTATTGTATGTCTATATCATTTTCTATATCAGAAATAATGCATAATGAAGTTTTAATGACTGAGTAGTAAAGAAAATCGGTGAGTTTATAAATTTAATCCATACTGCTCAAAGTGATATTTTATCATTTGCTAATTTTAAAAATCAAGGCTTTCTCACTTTTTCTTTTTTCCTTCACATACGAACTCCTTAGGTCTTAAAGCAACATGTTAATAAGAAGACCCAAATGAAATTAAGAGAACAAACTGGAGGTTCCAACTCTTCTCTTTTGAACTGGAACAAAATTAGAAAGAAAAAGCTACATCTTTTTCATTTATGGCAGATTTCTGCTGTTGGTTTTTGTTTGGTGTACTTGTAAAGTAACTCTCTTACGATCCTTCCCAAGTCAATTTCATATCTGCATGAACATTTGTGTCTCATTTTGATTTTAGGTCTACCTTAAGGTTTGAATTTGAAATGGGAGCACTCATAAACCTTCTTTCATCTTATTCCATCCCAAGTCCTAGAACCACAGAAATTCAGAAAAGCAAGTAAAATAAAGAAAAAGTGTCCATTCACACTCTTTGTGAATACTCTGAAACACAATATGGTCTGCAAGCCAGCATCAACACCCCATGAAAGTCTGTTGGAGATGCATAATCTAGGGCAATACCCCACATCTACTGAGTCAGAATCTGCATCTTAAGATTTCCCAGGGTCTAATATGCATATTCAAGTTTGAGAAAAACTGATCTAGACCATCCCCCAAAAGTAACCATGGACTGCCTACAATAGACACAAGCAGAAAAGAACTGCTCACTTTTAATTTAGCCTATTTCATATTCAACAGCCGATTAGAAAGCCCTTCCCTCCCTCTCCTTCCTTCCTTCCTTCTTTCCTTCCTTCCTTCCTTCCCTCCTTCCCTCTCTCCCTCCCTTCTTCTCTTCCTCTCTTCCTCCCTCCCTCCCTTCTTCTCAGTCAGCAAAAAAACATTTATGAAGTGTCTATATTGGGCAATTTTCCATGTTCTGAAGTTGTGGTAAAAGGTTCTTGACTTCCTGAAGCTCACATTTTTGTAGATATTTTTTCCCCTAGTTTCCTAGTTTCTGTTCCCACCCCCACCCCCTCTGCCTAATCCCCAGGCCTTAGCTATGCCTTTCAAGCAACAGTATAATGAAAAGAAATGGGATTCAGTAACAACTGCTCATTGGTTTATCAGGTGGGCTCACCTGACACCACCGCATGGCCATGGAAAATGACCTAACACTCCTGAACCTAAGCTTTTAACATATAAAATGGAGAGAATGCCATCTATCCCATAGGATTGCTCTTCAAATTTATTCAGACAATGTATGCAAAGCTCTCAGCTCAGTGCTTCCCCAGGGTAGGCATTCAACAAACGGGCAAATGTCATGGCTAGTATGGGAGGAGGCCCCATCAAAGGCTGCAAACCCATCTGTCCCCTTTGCTTCTCTTTTGTTCCATTCCTATCAAGTACATGTTAGTTCTACGTTTGATTCAATGCTTTTAGTCCTCTCCTTTTACATGGAACAGACTATGTCTTCCACTTATTGTTGGACGACATTGGTGCCTGCCCTGAGAAGTCAGCAAAAAGTAGGCTGAGAACATATACTGACATTGACTTTTAAAGAATACATCTGACAGTAAATCACAAGTGGGTGGGTTTAAGTTTTTAAGCTGTAAGAGATTTTTCAGTTACTAAGTGACTAAATGCTTACGGCAGGACAAACTCCTCTAAACACAAATCAGGAAAGATGCAGTTAAGTTCAAACACTTTTGAATGAAACACTCTCATGACAAAGGGCACTTGAGTTTTCCTCACCTAAAAAGAGCAGTTTTTATAGGAAAAAATACTTTTTAGCTCAGGAGTTAGAACGTTTATGGCCTGACTAAGCATGCCTGATGGTTTCATTTGAAAATTGTGTTTGTGTGTTTAGCTGAAGAATAATCAAGGTACAGTGGCTATATGGAAAATTTTAAAGATAAATAAAATATGGAGAAGCACTTATTCTTATGGATTTAACAGTTGGAAAGATTTAAGAAATCATAAAATATGCTGGAATATATTTTATTTCATTATGTGTCTAAGATGTAAAAGCTATCATCCTTAAGTTTTGACTAAAGAACCAAAATGGAAAAGATTTGTTTCATTACACACAAATGCTTCTCACTTCCTTTAGTTAGGTATTCTTCATACAGACACAATCCCTAGATTACTTCACTATGTGAAAAGACAAAGACTATTATTTTTAAAATATGTTCCTGCATTTTTAAATATGTTCCCAAAGTATTAGTGCATTCGAGCTAGTAAACTCTTTAGAGGTAAATTATACTTGCCATAACCAGAAGAATGTTTATTTTAACAAAGCAATATAATTATTTTTCTCCAGCCTAATACTAGTCATCATTAAATGGAGCTCACCCCAGGTGATATAAAATTTCTCAATATCTTATTAAACATTGATTGTTTTTCCTCTTGCTGAAAATATGTGAATTCAAAAGGGTTGTCTTTGTTTAAACTCTGAAATGTGCGAGTAATCTCTGGGCCTAAGCTGCCAACAGTTATTAATATTTTATCCCAAGAAACAAAATAGTATACCTAAGTTACTAACGCAAAATACTCATATTTGGGACTGACTTCTAAGTATGTCTAGTATTTTCATTCATGTAAGAAATGAATAATAAGGGCCAGGCACAGTGGCTCATGCCTGTAATCCTAATACTTTGGGAGGTCAAGCTGGGCAGATCTCTTGAAGCCACTAGTTTGAGACCAGCCTGGGCAACATGGCAAAACC